TTCGGTTTAATTAGCAATTACTGCAAATGATGAAGAAAAAATTACTTGGATGCCGATGAGGTTTAAAAGAATAACAGTGGAATTTAAAAGGATGTGAAGGGATACCACAAGGGATATGTGAATTTTAATGATTCACCGATTCACCTATACAATTATCGACAAGTGCCTGGTAAAAATGGTTCCGCGCAGTGGCAGTTCATTTGTCGAACAATTGCTTATATATACTCGGATTTGTTAAGAATGTATTAGTTGTTATATGAAAACTGTTACCCAATCAAAAATTTATGTTTTTTTATATTTTTTATCATTGTCAGTAGTTGTTTTGTGCTTACATACTTAAATAATGGAGATAAATATCAATATTATTAATGTTTTAACTTAGAAGCGCACTGTGTTTTTTGAAATTCCCAAAAATCCTTTGTTGGCCATGCATAACTATATTGTTATACCGCGGAGATATCCAACCGACAACAAATTCAAAGATAAAAAATTATAGAGACACCGGGTTCGATAAGGTCAAACGGAACGAACAAGAGCTGCGAAAAAAGAGGTACCAAAAACTGCGATTCTATTTCATGGCCAACCATTAATTCCCGCTTTTTCATTAAAATGAAATTTTTGTACAAAATAGTGGGAACTTTTAATCTTAAAGAACAAGTGTTGATACCTAAGTGTTAAGTACTTGAATAGGAAATCTTTGCTATCAAGAAGAGATTATTAAAATCAATCGCTGTTAACTAGCCAACTATTACTGCATTTACTAATTTATTAAACTTTCTCCTTCCAAAAGCTTTATCAAGCTGATTAATCTGATTTCATTGTCTCTCTATATTACCGAATGACAATGTTCGTGCCAGTGCAAGACCTAAACGGTGATTGGGAACCACACATTATCGGCCCTATCTTCCATCTCCAGTTATGCATCTTCTATTGGATGCAGAGTTGGCATTTGAAATTTTTTAGCAAATTATGAGTCACACGATATAGGTAGAAGTTGCCGTTTATCTTGTTGATATTTATCATTGCAAATGGCAAAAAGAAAGAGCCATCTTTAAAATTTGGTTTTACATAAGGTAATTTTAAGGTAATTACGTTTTGAGCAAAGGGAGAGAATTAAAACAATTAGTGGCTACTTACATCCAAAATAATAACTATTAAGGAATAGATCAAGGAAATTAAATACTCTTTAAATTATCAAGTTCAATCTTAACTCATTTTATTCCTGACTTATTTCGATCCTTTCCCATAATTATAGCAAACTCTACACTGCGATTCAGCATTAATGACCAAGATGATTGTCAAGATCAAAGCTTTGGTCCGAATCCAGTTGATGCCCACGCTTCGACGGGCTGCAGTGTTGCCCAACGGAGAAAACAAAATAAAATGGCTGAGTGGGTTGCCGTTCAGTTTGAAACGCCGATGTTGAAGTCCGACTCCTAATAGGAATAAAATTGTCCAGAAATTCGATGATGTTGGCGACTCATTTGTATTTCTATCGTCTAGACACTGCACTCCCTGATATAACCCAACAGCAAGCGGAGCAAGTCTAATCAGAAATGGTGAGTGGTGTTAAAAAAAAATTATTGGCCTATAAAGAGACGTTTTGGCCTTTGCCGTGAAAAATTTTCAGTGGTCTTTTTTTGCAGCAAACAGGTCATAAATCTCGGCTACATTTTTCAGCAAACGTAAACGAATTGGCAGCGAAGCGAGAAACGGACAGAAAGAATTCTCATGTAAGCATACTGAGGAATATTGCGTGCATTATAGGACGTATCTTATCGCAGGCGGGTTTTCAGTTGAATTTTATGGAGCGTAGTGATGATCGCGATTTTGTTACCTGGTACAACTGCATCGAGATTCAGTAGTTGAATTAGCTTGGCAAGATTTCAGAAAGATGTTTATTTTTGGTCCAATATTTGTCATTTCAACCACAAAATTTCGGCGTTAAGAGCAAAATGAAGATGGCTGGAAGTGTTTCATCATAATGACTATGGTAGTACATGAAGGATAATATAAATAATAAATAATAATGATGATGATAATAAATGATAATATAACAAATAATAATTTATGATAATAATCAATAATTCAATAATTTAAATGTATAATATTATTATTATATTTCCAACATATTTGAAAATTATTTTCGAATTATTGAAACTGGTTTTTAATATTTCGAAATATTTTTAAATTTACTGAAATTGCATTAAGTTAAAACGAATTGAATTAGTGAGTAAGTCGAAAAAAGAATAATATATTTTTTGAAAATTTTATTCTTTTTTCAGTAAATAATAGAAGTGGTGAATAGAAATCATGAAAAACTCATTCTTATATAAACAAAACTAAAATTGCCATTTTGAAGAGCAATTTTTCCAGTTTTTAGTATTTTTTGGAATAAAATTACGAAAAAAAGAAGTCAAAAAATTATAAAATCGGAAGGATTTTTAATGAAAATCGAAGTTTTTAAATTTTATATTTTCGAATTTTTTGTATAATTTTATTTTTCTTATCCAATTATTTGATTATTTGATTTGATAATTTATATCAGAGAAGAAAAGTAGCGGAATGAGTGTTCATTGCTCATATTATCTCCTCGAAGCATTCAGAATCTGCCTACAATAGAAGTAAATCTTTCATTTAAAAAATCTGTCATTGTTGGACCCATTTTTGTTTCTATCAACAAATAACAAAAATTCCTCATCACAAAAGCTGAAGACCAGGGGAACAAGCCAGCAAGCAATCACCAATGGTGAACGCTAGCCACTCACTCACTTACTTACTCTACTAACTCGACGAGCCATACTTCGGTTAGAGTTCGTCATCACAGCCATCACAGACTACTGCTTGCCTGTCATCTGTTCTCCTACGCCACAGCCGTTCCTTTGCGAACAGATCGCATTTCATTAGATGAGGAAAATTCATTCGACGAGATCTTTAAATCCGTTTGCTCCTCTTTTAATATCACTCGTGTGCTAAATTCCTTGTCATAGTTCAGAAAAAAATGACATTCTTGCCAATTTATCGGCAAATTATACGTCTTCGGCCATAAATGTTCAACAATTATTGTACGTATTGACATTTTTCATTACTCATTTCATTTCTCATTTTACGTTTATAATATACACATTTTAAATGATATATTTCTTCACTTCCTTCACTAATTCACTTGATAGCGAGCAAAGTGACTGAATTTTTACTTGGCCATATCGTATTTTTGTTGTTGAGAAAAAAGGTTTTCGATAAAGCCAACTTTATATAGCATTTTACATCACATGTGAGGAGGTTAGCGGGGCCGAGTGGTACATTGGTTCGGTTGAATTCGAGCGTCATTCAGGTGTTGTCATGGGTTCGACTCGTATACCTTAATACTCCTTAAACGATCACTGAAGTCCTGATAGTGTCGGGATTGCACCCATATCTTTGACTCATTCGAATAGTTAATAGCACTAGAAATATTAATTGCTATTAGAAGAAGGAAAGTACCATTATATTGCTTCCACTGAGAGAAGGAAGGCACCACAATTTTTTATTTCACGATTTCTTAATTTTTTTTATAACGAATTATTGCACGAAAATAATAAAAATAAAAATTTTAGAAGATTTGTTTCCGTTTTTCTGTTTTTTATTTATTCATTTTTTATCAATTATAAACAATTTTCCAATATTTTTTGTTTCAACTATTTTATAAAAAAAATTTTTTCATATTTTCAAATAACTTTCATTTAAAAATTACATAGAAATAATTTATCTCATGAAATAAAGTACTATATTATTAGGCCAACTTTGCAGTTACTAGTGGAACCATCCTAACAAATAATGACGTGAACTATTGGAGGAAGGAAAGTACCACTGGTGAAGGGCTGAGGAACAGATAAAGTACCTCTAAAGGAGTCGTAGCTTCGTTAAAATATTTGTAGTCTGCTTTTCTTTAATTTTCAATTAATAAAGAATTTACCACTCAAAAAACGTTTCATCCAATCAGCTGATTTTTTTTATCAGTTTTTCTTTTTTCTTTACGAAACATTTTTTATTTACGCCGAAAATTGACATCATACAATCAGCTGTTATCGACATCATTTTTGTTTTTTATTTTAAAAATTCATAAATTTTTTAAATTGAAAATTCAGGTGTTGTAAATAATTGATGAGGAAATACTAGTATTACTAATTAAAGAACAAAGAATTCACTGAACTTTGACTGATGAAAAGATTTGATAATAGAAAATAGCGAGGTGATAGGAGAGAATGAAGAGGGACTGGAGAAAAGGAAAGGAAAATAAAAGAAAGAAAGGAATGAAAAAACACTGAGTGAACGAATACCGTCTCCTCTTTCCTGTGAGGACCACATAACCGAATTGTTTCATTTTTTTAAGCATTTGAGGAATTTCTCTACCGGGGAATCCCGAATTTTTTTCATAGATTTCCTATTCAAGAACTACAAGAAAACTTATTAATAATTATTTCACTGCATGCAATATTTTGTTGCATCGATTGAGAAGAGGGAATCCCCCTTATTCACCCGTTTAATTTTCCACCAGTCGATTACTATTTTCACATGGCTTCTACGTTTCAAATGCTTTCTCAAAAGAACGATCGATAATTTATCAAATGCAAAATATAATAGAAAATGGAGAACATTTAGTGAAAAAAAGATGAAATATCGATCGTTTTATTGATTTTATAATAAAGCATATGTCGAATTGCTTATATCCTTTTATAATTTATAAAAGGAAGAGTAAAAAACTAATTATCTAAGAATTTGGGTTCATTGATCGATCCCCACCCGACCCATTCCCATCCGATCCGCGCAAGTTGCTTGATAATTAATTAATCTTCGGTAATTAATTATCTGATCTTCGGATTCGACCCGAATCGATTGTTTTGATACCATTTTTTAATGACCCAAAAGCAAAATAAATTTAGTGGAAATAAATTAAGCAAAGAAAAATTTATTGATCAAAGATTAGAATGAAATGAATTTGAGCTTAAATTAGCTCTGATATGATGAGTCCAGCCATTCATTTATTAGTGTTTTTCGGCACGCTGGAAAAATCTTTGTTTCGTCGGCGGACCGTGGGCAGCTCGTGAGGCCTTTCAGAGGTCCGAACTGTTTTGCCGCGAGAGCCCTTCTTCTTTCAGTAAGCCTCAACTTGAGGAACCAAAGCAAAAGTTTATTAGACGTTTCCCTCAATAAATTCTAAAAAATATAAAATTTGTTATTTTATGTTGTTATATAAAACGGGTTTATTATTATTCATTAGCGTTTTAAGAAATAAATAAGAATTTTCTCATTTTCGGTTTCTCATTTTTTTGCGGTAAATATCGATAATCCACAAAAAAAACTTTTTAATGACTGGCATAAAATAACAAATTTTTGAAAAATTAAAGGTTTTCTGCTGGTCCACCTGGGTCCCATAAAAGTTTTCTGCTGGTCCACCTGGGTCCCATAAAAGTTTTCTGCTGGTCCACCTGGGTCCCATAAAGAGATTCTTCAATAAGTGTAAAGGAGTCTTTGAATGGTATATTAAAGCCAAAACTTTTCGTTGATTAATTTTATTTTTTATACAATTTTCTAAAAGTAGCGAATTTTAATTTTCAGTTATCAATGTTACCGATATCAGGTCCCTCACAAATGTTATCAATTTATGGCGGAATAACCGCATTAGTTTATATGGAAACTGATTCATTTCGGTTATCGCATCCATTTTTATCCATTTTACCATTTCTTGCATTAGTATTGTTAACAATAAATCTCGCTATGCCAAAGAAGCCGAAAGTGTTAACGAGTATTTCATTTATTGGACATAGTAAGCATATTTTTTTATCAAAGCCGCTGAAACAGTGAATGACCCTAATACACGAAAAATTGGGACTCCCCGGCCGCGAATTGAACCCGGGTCTCGCACGTGACAGGCGCGGATACTCACCACTATACTACCGAGGACGCAGGGCTTTGTTCTTATAAAATATTTAACATGTTATTTCCAAATTTAAATTTTCTTATTTAAAAGTAACACATTGAAAATTGAAAAATTTGTAAAATTTTAGTGAAATTTTCTTTAAAAAATTTGGTTCGAGGAAAAATGCAACAAAAAAGTAGAATTTTTCTCAATAGAAATTTTGCAATAAATTTGTGGAAATGAAAATTTTTAGATTTCTCAAAAATTTAGAATTTATTTTAAAAAAATATTTCAGTAAAATGAGTAAAAAATGAAAAATTTTATTTCAGTGATATCAATATTTACAATGCAAAAAAACATTCGTTACTTAAATTATTCGTTAATAATGAATGCATTATCAAATGTTATTTATTTATTAACGTACATAAATTATATAAAAAAATTATGGAATATATTAGCGATTGGTTTTACGATTTATTACATTTTTATTGTTTATTATTGTTTTTTCGATGTTTTTACGTCGATACCGATTTTTGTTATGATTTTATCAGTGAACTTAGCAATCAATTGTTTTTCTATAACAGCCGCTGGTTCGTTATGGAAATACGGTGCATCACTGAAGTATCCATCGTCTACATCACAGGTTATTTCTTTCTATTTTTTCATACCATTTATAATCGAAGATAGATAAATTGAGTTTGACGGTGCCTGGACTCTCCTACATGTCAATCTATAAGTTCTCTCTCTCTAGCGTTTTATTCTAGCGAAACCATTAAAACCAGAGATGGTGCGAGAAGAAATAAATTAGAATGGGCAAAGATAAATATGCCGTCCAACTTATTGTAAAAATCATCCATTGAACAGTACATACACAGATAAATGCAAATGGTTGCATTTTCCTTCTAACAGCCCCTGTTATTTCTGGTTTTATTGGTTATGTTCGAGTGTCAAAGTTTGAACTCTTCATCTGGCAAGAATACTGGTGAATGGTGAGAAAACTGGCCAGCGAGGTTCAGTCAAAGATAGATATGCAGATGGTTCCCCAGCAGCCATTCAATTTTCACTTTTAATGATTGTTATAATGACTAACATTAAGGTATATAAGGTTCAGCCGATGAAGTCGTAAGGTATAGATTTTAGATTATTATATTTTATAGCTTTTTTGATGAAATTTAAATTTAAATGGAATAATTAATTAATTGGAATCAATTACGGAAAATCTCATTTTTTCAGGCGGATTTTATTCGGTTCATTGGCTTAATAATAAGCATTCTGTATAGTTCGATTATTGTTATAAATCGCTTCGCGAATCGTCTTCCCAACGCGGATTATTATATTCTATTGTTTTATTACATCTCGCAAGGATTATTATTTTTCGCTAATGAAAGGGCATTTTAGGCCTATTTGGCCAATAGCATTTTTGTTCACTACGACCCTTTTCATGTACCTTTTTCATGAATCGTTCGCTAAATCTCTTTTTTAAATGCTTTTTGTCAGTCTAAATTTTAGTTCATAAAATCTTCTCAAATAATTTTTTGAGGAAATTTTCCTATTTTTTGGTTTTCCTTTTCCCTTTATTATTTCCTTGGGTCTTTAAAATTTTAAATATTTATTTTTCGTTTATTTTTAAAATCCCATGATTTGCTTAAATTTATCAATTTATTTCGTTGATTTTAATTTTTAATGAAATTTTATGAAATTTTTAAAGTCTTAATGAATCTTGATTTTTGAATATTTCAAACGTCTTGTCTGTTTAGCTGTTTAATTTGGTGGTGAGTGACACATTTGGTGAGTGATTCTTGCTTAGCTTATTGCCTCGAGCGTCAAGATTGAATCCTTCCTCTAGCAAGAATAAATCTCTCATTAAAAAATCTGTTGCCAGTGATTGATTCACGCATGTTTCTCCTACTTCTCCCTTGTTTTTCAGTAGTTTTTCAGTAGTTTCAGTAATTCTAACCGGTGGAGTGAGCCTAACCATAAAGTTATTTTAATTATTTAAAAAATCCGGTGAATTTCTTAGAATTGTCTTTCTCAATAATTTTATCATCATTAATTTCAAAATTATTATTATTGTTATAACAATTATTTTTTTGAGGGAATTTTCATACTTTAAATCATTATCATTATTTTATTATCATTATTATTTTCGTTCAAATTTACTTTAATCTGTTTTTCATACTCATTTTTTATTTTCGATAAATTTCATAAATTATCGATGAATTTTTCGAAAATTATTTGCGATTTTTAATATTTTAATAATCCATTTTGCTTTTAAATTTGATGCTTTAATGATACTCTAATTCGATTGTATTTTTTAAAGGTTTTTTTTATAAACATGTAAATAATTTTAAAAATTTATAGATTTAACCGTGTATTCTCAATTATGGCATTTGCCAGTATTAAAATATTTTTTTCCTGATTGATAATTGCCCAAAAGTTTTTTTGCTGCATATTGTTAAAAATGCTGTTTTGTGCTGAGTTGCTAAGTTACTTACGGTTATCTCCTCTCCCCAGCAACTGTGGTAGATTTGGATATGGAAACCACTCTGCGGCACCCAAGAGATGTACGGATAGATATACAGTCCAAGGCATAGCACAGTAGGCCTTGAATGTGCTGATGATGTTCTTTCCGCCGACATTTACAAGGATCTGCAATAGATAGGCAGCACCAACGAAAATTGGCCTTCAAGTCTTTGCGAATAAGGCGAATCTCTTTTCTTTCTTTTTTTCAACGAAACGCTGATAATATCGCAATTAAAAAAAATTCATTAACTGTCGATGAAGTATCAGTCTTTCAATATCTCCGGTCCACTCTCATATGTAATGGCCGAGAGAAAGATGGAATTGCAGTCTGGCTGCAACCAGAAGGAACTCTTTGCTTCTAGCAGAACCTCTTTAAAATTGCCAGAAATTGCCTCCAGAACAAAAGTCCTCATTTTTCTGGTTATACCCATTATATAGTTGTAGAAGCAAAAGTGGCAGATATTAGGAAGTTACTGATCATTCTTGTTTTAACCATTCGTTCCTGAGATCCGTTCTACTTGCTGGTCAGTTGAGCAGAATTTCATTTAATTGTATCCACTCGAATACTCTTAAGAAAATCGTTTCAAAACGAGCAATGCGCTGATTGCATAGACCATCTTCACTGTTTGTCTCTATTGTTGTGTGACGGATCGCGCCAAAAGCGATGAGGACAAATCAAGATTTGGCTTGATACAGTCAGAAATTTTGTAGTATAGATGGCCCAGCGAACTTACATGCTGGGAGGAGTTGTTTCAGTTACTTTCGAGAATGGAAGGCTCCGAATATCTTTCCTAAATCGCCAAAGTCGCCAGAAGAAAAAGAAGGTTCATATCGAATTAATCAACTGATAATTATCTGATATTGATCAAAAATTAATAGTGAATTCGAATGGAAATGCTGGTTCATTTTTATTTTGCTTAACGAAGTTATTTTGACGAAGTATTTTGCTTATCAAATTTATATGATTTGTAAAATTCACCAGAAAAAAAAATTTTCGGTAAAATAGTGCGACAATGAAACGTCGAAATACGTCGAGGAGAATACAGCATATAAATAATAAAAGTCGCAGCAAATACGCACTCCACTGTAAAATACAATTTTTGTTCGAATTTGACTTTTTTGTTCTATTTATTATTATTCAGCGAATTTCTTATAATGTGGTGACTCTGCTTCATTTTCTAATGCCATTCAGCCCACTAACTGTTGGGAAAAGAAACTTATTTTACCCGGGAACCCATAATATTACGTAATAATTAGTATAATATAAAGTGCAAATGTTTTACGAAATCATGTAAAGTTAAATTTCCCAAATTTTGGCAAAAGTTGAAAAATTATGATATTTAATAATAATAATACCTTTTATAATAGTAATAGTAATAATAATAGCTCATGAAAATGCCTTTTAAGATATCAAAGATCTATCTTCATTGTACCATCGTTATTATATGTACATGCTGATAAAGTAAATTGCTAGGGCTAATTGATACTCTTTCATTTCAGCCAATCTAATTAAAATTTCTTATAACTGACAAAAATAAAATATAAAAAAAAGAAATATTAAGTAAAATGTCTTTTGATACGCGTTCGCACTATTGCAAAGATTATCGCGACAACAGCACGCTGTATAATTCTCGTGTAAATTCGACTCATATCCATCATAACAACCTTCTTCCTGAAATAACTTTATTTCCAACACAATATTCTCCCGGGGATAGTTCCAAATTGAGGTCGAACTTCCTCTTAGAGACTTTAATTCGAAAAGATTTCTTTGGTTAAAAAAAATTTGCTTATTTCATTTCCAAAAGCAATTGCAACATTGTAAATAATGAATTGTATCTTTTCTTTAGGGCATTGTTTATTTAATTAAATATTTAGATAGTGAAACTGATCGCCTTATTCAATAATATTGTTATTATTACTTTTTATTATTATTGTTATTATTATTATTGTTGCCATTATTATAAAACATATTAATAAAAATATTTCTTGTGTCATACGAAGCAATGTAGTTTATAATTTTTTAAGTCCATCCGAAAAAATTTTAAATTTAGAAGTTTAGAAAGCTCTCACCTGGCAGTGCCCAATGTTGATATATTGTTTTATGATTTTGCTTTGGCAACTTGTAATCCTCTTAGTTGTACCATTCATATTAAATTCTATAGTCCAACAAAATTGTGTATCTTCCGGGCATTCTTCGATTCCTGAACCCTAGGATATAAAAAAATTTAAATTGTCTACTCAGTCAGACTAAAGCCAATATGAAAACCAAATTGAGTTGACTGTCTTACAATTAATCGTCTTTGATGGAAAGTACATGGAAAAAAAGCGTTGTAGCGAAAAATCATGAAGCTATTTAGTTTTTTTATGTCAAAATTTAGTGAGATTCAGAAAAAATTGAGGAATGGTACCAGCTTTGCAAGAAATAGAATTGAAAAAAGAGTGGCCAAGCGGTTTGTTACTGCGACTAAGATCAAGCTAGTTTTGATAAGAATAAGCCCACCATTAAAAGTGGTGATAGTTAGAGGTTCATCGATGATATTCCTCAGGTTCTCCTTATAGCCAGGATATTAGATATTAGCCAAGCCAGAAATGTGCACGTAATTAGAAGAAATAGAAATATTACGATAAAATTTTATAAATAAAGAAAAAACCTTACATGGTACTCGTGCTTGTCCAAAGTAATTATTTCTAGTACTGAAAAGCATTGTATTGCACTAAAAACTGGAAATTGTATAATTAAAAAAATAATTCCAAATTTTTTCATTGGAAATCCTGCAACAATACCACTCGGGTAAAATAAAGTAATGTAAAATAAAGTTATTTGTAAAATTTACTGTCTGTCTGGCAAAATTTATGGCACAGCATGAAGGAAAAAATATAATTATTTATTTTATTCTCGCAGATTACCTTTCAATTTTTAATTTACCCTATGAAATTATCATTTTTTATCCGTGGCAAAGGAGACGATATGATAGGTAAATACTGCAGTATCAGTAAATAAAATTTCTGGAAATCTGAACCTTCCTTGCATTTATCCAATTTTTATTCATTCCTATTATTTGATATTCAAATATGAATTTAAATTTTAATTAATAAACATCGAAAATATTTAAAAGCATTAAAATGAAAATGATAAAATAGTAATAATATGAAGCAAAATTGAGCGTC